GTATTAAAACCATGGTATTTCTGATATTACGATCACCATTCCGTACATTACATTTAAGTTTTTTAAATAAAATGGTAAAAGCCCACGTCTAGCTGTGAACTGTGGAACCGAATGAAAACAGAGGAGTAGAATATTTAAATTAGAATTCAATTATACTACAATATCTGTATTAGAAAATATTTTATCATATATATAATAATGCTTTGCACAACCATGGCATGAAACAAAAAGAGTATCGTTTTATTCTTGCGTTAGAAAGTAAAAATAGAATGAATAATGCTCCAAATGTTACTGGCATAGCTATTTATTCACAAAATTGAATAAGGGGGCGTTCCTGTGAAATAATTTATCAGAAAAATGTTTCACATTACATCGCACGAGTAAAATATTACATCGGTTGGTAGAGTCGTGTTTTTTCTCTGTTATTCAAATAGGATGTTGATCCAACCCTTTGAGCGGAGAACACGGTACACAAAAAATGGATCATTATTAATTCCGTTAAACATTCTGTGTTTTATTTTTATAAAACGTTTAATTAACTTCTTCTTTTCCGGTTAATTTTGATATAATTAAATATGATTTAAAAAGATACTACCTGTAATCGAAATTCCCACTTACTATTTTGTACCTACAATGATTAATGAAACTCAAACTTCTTCTTCACCATCATCAGTCCATAGACATACACTGCTTAACATAGGCTTACCTCGTTGCTGAGAAAAATTGCATTAATTATAAAGTAATAGCTGCTTCACACTGACGCTCCTCTCCGTTGCCTATTTTTATCTTGCATAAATAAGATGGTTGACATTAGATCGCTATCGATTCGGAGTAGGCCTCAAATAGTCGCCTGTCGGTTGGATGCCCTTTAGTTAATCGAGCCTTGAAAGATGTTGACAAATCCTTTTCTTCCTCTGGCAGAGGCTCAAACAGAGTACTGGACTATTACATGCTGAAGATGAAGCACAAGTAGATTATACTAAACTACTGAAAATGTTTTGGCGAATTTCCAATTTTAATTTTGCGAAAAAAAAAAACAAGTAAGTAACAAAATTATTTCTATTTTAGCTAAGCTATAAGTACGATTGAAATTGAGCCTAGTACTGTCAACTGTCACTTGCGATTAGTATTCCACTAATTGTTACATAAAAAAGATTCTAAAGCGAAGTCTGACTTTTCAATTCACTTTGAATTAGGGATAGACTACACTAAGGAATTCAAAGATGAAAACGTATTTTAATTTGAATAAAAGATTAAATATATTAAGCAATTTAAAGTGCAAGTGTAGTAGGGAAATGTGTAAGAATATTTAAATATTTAACCGTGTAGTGGCGGTGTAAGAATATCCACAACACCATATTGTCCAGGAGTCGTAAGAGTCGACTGGTGGAAATTGAAATAAGAGATGGATAGCAGCATCTTCCTGGTAAGAACTGAAAATTATAAATAACTGCGGTTGCCAAACCGCTCGCCAAGCGAAGCAACTTCAGCCAAATTCCACGACAATCTAGGGGGGACACCTATGTTCGGCAGTGAAATTTTAAAAGCTGTAATATATGTCGGATGTTAATATTTTAAGTGTTGTTTGTTTTAAGAATAGAACAACTATACTTAAATTTTAAAGCATTTAGTTATTGCAGCATAACTTTTACTTACATTTTGTTGTCCAGATTTATAGTATAATTTTTTTATACAGAATTACGGTGACAAGCAACCACGCAGCCCACCTGGTGGTAAATGGATGCTGTGACCCTAGACATCTACATCTACCGTCGATTAAGAATCAAAATACAGATGCGTTTCCACCCCTGGGGACTAATTTGGAATGCTTCGTATTCAGTTAAACGGGTTTCTAATTCTCTTCACTCATCATTCGAGACACTGCAACAATGAGCTGCTATTTTACGCTGATAATCTGTGAGAGTGTGGTCCTTTCCCTGTCGAGCCGACCCGTTCGTGCTGCGACCATAAGATAATTGCAGCATTGCTCTTAAAAACTAACTTAAAATGCGGAATCAATTTATATACATAGTTAAAAATATTTTAATGCAAATTTTTTAGGTGTCGCTATTTTACCGTTGTTTCCAGATTTCTCTCAGTTTTAAAAAGTAGAAGTGTCTAGAGACATTGCTTACTCTGTCAGCGTAACTTTATGCGATCCTTTATACTTTAGATATTTTTTTAAGAAAATACAGGAGTTTTGCAAAGCCTCACTATAAATATCTCATTGTATGCATATGTAATGGACATATGCAGACACACATACTTGAAATATTTTTAAGACATTCGCGAAAACTGTGGCAAATATATCGAAAAAAAAACAGCTCAATTATTACTGTATGTACTATATCAATTTCAAAATTTTGTTTTGTACGACAGTATTAGTACCAAATAAATTGTTTTTGTACAACAATTTATTTGGTACTAATTCAATATATATATATTTTTTTTTTTTTTTTTTTTTTTATATATATATATTTTATATATAATAATTAATGACTAAGGTCAACTATTAGTTTTTTTTTTTTTTACAATATCATGATATTCGTAATAGTTTTATCCGCACCTTACTGTATTTTGAGGCATTTCTTGGGGGAGGCCTATGCTTAGTTATGGGATTGTGCTACGATGATGATGAAGATGATAAATGTAATAGTTTCTATATAAATTTGCTATTTAACAACTAATCAGCTATTTGTGAAGCTAGAACAGTATAACTGTCTAACGATATTTTTTATAAATTAAAATGTAGAATGGTATCACTATAAAATAAAAATGTGACACATTTTAATAATCTTAGAGACATTATCTATTCTACCTGTATAAAACACAAAAAATGTTTCTACCTTTGTCCGTTATAGACTTTGAAACCATCCAACCGATTTTGATGAAACTTTTTGTGTGTTTTTAAGGGTAATTAGATGGTTTATATTTATATTTGGACCCGGTAGGTGGCACTGTTGTCAAAATTCAGAACTAGCCCGTGGTAAGCCGATACGGATCGCTAGTATAGCATATAAGTCAAATTGATATTTAAAGTACAAGGTTACCAAGAGCTTTGGTTTATTTATAGCCGTCTTTTAATAAAAGTAATTGTAAAAAGTAAATTAGTCGCATGATTTAATGTGTGTCAGGAAGCTAAGTAAAGACTTTAAAGCGACATAAATAAATACTGAGTCAAGCTTTTTTATCTACAGTGCCTAGCTGTCCATTTGCGGGTAATTGTCGCATCGTGTCAAAGTAAGAGAAACCTCAGTTGTATTTTTGACCCGTTTATACACTTAATTAAGCAAAATTAATAAACAAATTTAAGAAAAATACATTAATTTGTAATTGTTAATTAATGATATAAACGTTATTAAAAATGATATATTTTACAACAACGACCAGATAATATAAAATTTCTATCAAAACTTTAAAATATTAATGAAAAGTTTACTTTATATTTTTTAAAATATTAATGAAAAAGTGTACTTTATATTTGGGTCGTTATAATATTAAAAATTGCATAATTGAACACGAACCTTACACAGGGCATGCTACGACACAGAATACTTAACTCTACTTCGTGCATGGTCGTCGGTACATCCAATGTAGAGCCCCTCTGAATATTGCTTACCGGTACGAGGCTGCCACTCTAAACCCTTATTATTGGTTTTCAGTTCTTTTAGCTTTATGGCCGGCCTATTGCCATTTCAAATTATTGATCCGTTCGGCTAAGTCAGTTTCTTCCGTTTTACTGCGGATATCATCATTACGGATTTCAGCACTCACGCAAAGTAACTGCAATCATAGATAATAATATATAATTAATATATCAAAATCCATATTTAAACTGCAGTATGACAATTAAATACAACAATTATTTTTATTTTTAAACTGTTGTCTTTTATAGCAAAAGTCGTTTACTAATCTGATATCCTGGTAGATTAGGTCAGGTCGATAAATCTTGAAAGCTAACACGGAAAAAAGTATTATTATTGATACATACAGAAAAGAAGTGAGAGTGTTATTTTTCATTATAATAAAGTAATATTGCAAATATCATCCTAAAACTTTCGCGGGTATAAACTACGTTCAAGTGTTGAAAGAAGAATTAATTACAAACTTACCGAACATTAATTACGCTTATTGACATTTTTCTAAAGTGTGAGTGAAAATAAAACTTAAAACCGCAACTTTGTGTATAACTTTGTGTATAATTAATTAGTGATGTGTTAATTGAAGTAAAATTGTAAAGACGGTGTTTCTAAATTGATTTCAAACATTCAAGAAAGTCTTAATGAACACACTGTTATTTTGACTGAGATGTGTAGCGTTAGATTGGTGTAATGGATTGTTAATACGTATGACTGACGGAGGAATCTTAGAGACCTGAGTTCAAAACCAGTGACATATGTTTATTTATAGCTTTTTTTTAATATTTATTAGGCATGGTTTTAATAATTTTTAATGTTGAAGTAGTTTTTATTTATAATTTTTAGTCTTAAATTATTTAACTTTTTTTGTTGTTTTTGTTCACACGTTTGCCTACTTTTGAACATTATTTTTGTAAGATTATTTAAGATATTGCAAACTTCAAACGAAATGGCAACTAAACGAAAAATAACCGCATTGCGTTGTGCTAAATGCCAACAAATAATTAAAGGAAGAGAATTTTTAAACTGCTCTATATGTTATATGTACTATGACATTGACTGCACGAATGTTTCATCAAAGCGATATTACTTAATGACAACCGAAAGCAAAGAGAAGTGGAAATGTACTTTGTGCATTGAGAATAAGGGGAGTAAACGGAGAGGTAATTTAAGTGATACATCGTCTACTGAAGTCCCGATGATAAAAAACTTGATCAAAAAACACACCTTTAAAACATAATAATACAAGTATGGGGGGAACCAAGTAAAGTAAACATAACTGTTAGAAATAAACTTGAGAAAAGAAATTTGTCTTTAAGAAATATATCGTATTCCGATTCGGATAGTAGTAATATAAACTTAATGCCGGAAACATCTCCAAGAAGTTTACCTGATACTACCCTACTAGAAAATTCACAAATTATTGATCTTAAAAATGAAATTGATCAATTAACTCTGCAACTGACCAGTGCACATAATGAAATTATGGAGTTAAACTTAGAAAATACAAATTTAAGAAAAACCCTAGAACAGTACCAGAAAAAAGAAAGTGTTTACAAGAAACTACTCGACAGTCCACTCAAACACGGCGCTATTTCCAAATCCTGCAAAAAAAAAGCCTAAAGAAGACAACTCTAGTATTAACCAAAATTCAATATTTAAAACAGTTCTTTCTAAAAAACCCAGTTCTGATCTTACTGTCCAAGAGAAGAATGAATGTTATTTAGAATCAAAAGAAAAAACTGTAACTATCAAAACTAAAGTCAAAGACAAAAATCAAATTCTTATTGTTGGTGACCAGCAAGCTTTAGGAATGGCTTCAGCTTTAATGAAAATTCGGTCAAGGTATAAAAACCCCCCGTCAATATAATATATCGGCATTTACGTATCCTGACACTCCTACGGATGTTATTTTAAAGAAACCACTACAAAATGAAGTTCAAATGGGTGCAGATGATTGGATAATTATTTCAGTAGGCGCTAATGATGTTAATCCCTATAAAACATTTGCTGAACTATATTCTTTTCTCAAAATATCATAGAGAACAGAAGATATTGATCACAAATGTAATTCGCAATCCATATCTAAATGAACATAAATTCAATCGTTTGTTAAATTCACTTAGTTTATATTATTCACATTGCTCATTTATTGATATACCATATATGACAAATAATATGTTTAGCACAAAGTCTAAATTTAGAATGTTTAATGAAATTAATAAAAAAATAGATTCAATAGACTATACAAAATATTTTATACATAATAGAAATATATCACAGACAAATTGTAAAAATAAAAATGCTTATAAGCCAGGGACCATTCCATTCTACTTTGCCAAAATGAACCGCAACGTCAATATGAATAAAATAACAAAATCTGCTGAAAATAATAGTGTTATTAACAGTGTCTCAAATTATAGGAAAGGAACAATTCCGATCTATTTTAAACCTATCAATAAAAAAATTGGCAATAACGTAACTACTAACAACCAGTTTTTTCACTAATGAGAACGTTCTGAATATTTTCCATATTAATATACAAGGTTTAAAATCTAAATTAAGTAATATTGAAATTTTAACGAAAGAAAAGACATTAGATATACTTTGTTTTACGGAAACGTTTTTAAGAGAAGAAGAAAAGAACTTTTACAAATTACATGGGTATAAAATGACGGCTATTTATGCAAGAAAATCGAAATCTAGAGGAGGTGTTTGCATTTACACAAGGAGTAACATAGATTCCAAAAATATAGATTACTTAAACCAACTGTCAATTGATAATCATTTTGAAAGTTGTGGTATAATTATCAGTGAATTAAATCTGATTGTTGTATGTATATATAGAACCCCTAACAGCGATTTTAACATATTTATCGAAAAACTTGAAATTTTACTTGATAAACTAATAGTACGTCTACGTAAAAATAAGAATAGATTAATATTATTAGGAGATTTTAATATAGACACGTTAGATAATAGCAAAAGAAGTAGTATCTTTATTACAACACTAAGGAAATACAATCTGCATCTTACTATACAAGAGCCAACTAGAATTACGGCTTATTCTGCAACTTGTATAGATAACATAATAACAAATGCTAATAAGTATGAATCTCAAGTACTTAATTTGGGATTATCAGACCACACTGCGCAATTAATTAGTATTGCGTGTAGATATAACTTTGGAAAAAAACACTGGTTCATTTATAAGAGAAATATAGATTCCAATCTACCGATATTTCTAAAGTACTTATCCCAAATTGGATTCAGAGAAGTTTATGAGGAAAAGGATGTAAACTTGGCATATAAATCATTCTTTAATATATTTAACTTGATCTTTACCCTAAGTTTTCCCCTTAAGAGGATTAAAATTACACAAAAAAATAAACTTAATTGGCTTACGAAAGGAATAAAAATATCCAGTAAAAACAAAAGAAAATTATATCTAAAAACGTTGAAAAATAAATATTTTGCTAAGACAAGTAGATATAGGGAATATTGTAGAATAATGAAAGCGGTAATAGTTGAATCGAAAAGGAGGTCTAATATAAAATATATACAATCTAGTGTTAATAAAACAAAAGCTACATGGAACTTGATAAAAAATAACACCAATTCAATAGAAAACACCATAAAAAATATAAAAGTTAATGGGTTGGTAGTCAGTGAGCCAAATGAAATGGTACAAATTTTTAATAACTTATTTCTTACACGTAATTACCAAAATACTAATGTTGGATCTTATAAAACTTTAAATAACTCATTTAATTGCAACAGTATTTTCTTATCACCGATCAATATAAATGATGTCAGTAAAATAGTTAAACAAATAAAACCGAAAAAATCTTTTGGCTACGATCATATATCAATGTATTTAATTAAACAATCTTTAAAGCATATTTCAGAACCAATAATTTATATCATAAATCTAATGTTAGAAACGGGTACATTTCCAAATGACCTAAAAATTGCTCTTATAAAACCTGTTTACAAAAAAGGACCGAAGCAAGACCCCAATAATTACAGACCCATAGCACTACTACCAAGCTTTTCCAAAATCTTTGAAAAAGTTATTTATAATAAAGTCATGAATTTCATTAATGTAAATAAAATTTTAAATCCTAATCAATATGGATTTCAAAAAGGTAAAAACACGTCATTAGCTATATTTAAAATAATGAAACATATTTGGGATGACATAAACGAAAAAAATCCATGTTTTGCCCTTTTCTTAGATATGACAAAAGCATTTGATTGTGTTAATCATGAAATTTTACTGAAACAATTGGAAAACATTGGCATTCGCGGAATTGCTCTAAAATTGTTTAAATCGTACCTAGAAGATCGATATCAGGCAACTATTTTGGATACGTATAATAGTAATACTACAACTATTGAAACAATTAAGTCAAAATTTAAAAAAGTCAACATTGGTGTACCTCAAGGAAGTATACTCGGTCCTTCTTTGTTTTTATTATACATCAACGAGATATTTAAAATCACCAAGCATTTAACAATAATGTTTGCTGATGATGCTACAGTCTTTTATACTAGTAAGCTAATAAATAGTTCAGAACTTGAAAGTCAAATTAATAAGTCCATAAAAGACATAGTGTCCTGGTTAAAATCTGTAAACCTAACAATTAATGTAACTAAAACTAAAATTCTCCAAATTAGAAATTACAAGACCGAACCAATCCATTTAAAAATATCATTCGATGGCTCAGTCATAGAGGAAGTAGATAATATAAACTTTCTTGGAGTTAAAATTGACTCTCATCTAAATTGGAAATCACACATAGAAAAGATTAACAAAAAGATATCGAGTTATTGCTATGTTCTTTCAATACTTTCTTGGTCAACCTCTGAATCTGTTACTAGAAATGCGTACTATGGTTATATTTATCCATTGTTAATCTATGGTATAATTTTTTGGGGTAATTCAACCAACATAAATGAAACGTTTATACTACAGAAACGATGTTTACGCATCATATACCGTAAAACAAATAGAGACAGCCTGAGGAATTTATTTAAAGAAAAACGTTTTTTAACTTTAACTGGAATATATATCTTAGAGTTGTGCCTATTTATTAGAAATAATTGCGATTTATTCGAAACGAAACTTTCGGAACGGCAAAATTTACGCCCTTGCTACGTAAACAATTTATATCTACCTCAAATTAAAAATAAATTGTTTGACAAAAGTGCATACATAACAGCAATTAAAGTATTTAATCACTTACCCAATAGTATTAAAGCAATAAAAGGACCCAAATTCAAACATAATTTAAAAAACTGGTTGGTGGAACATACGTTTTATACGCTAAATGAATTCTATAATTTTAAGAGTTAATATCGTGTTCTTTGTTATAATAATATCTATAAGCATTTTTTTTAATATTTTATCTTAGAAGTTAATTGTAAATCTATCATCTGTTAAATGTAAATTGCAAAAATGTAATCTGTTAAATGTAAATAGTATATATATTATGTTTATGAAAATTGTAAATCTATTGCACGCCTGATGAGGCAACTGTTGATACCTATAATATTATGTCATCTTCAACTTGTACACAGTAATGCAATAAATGAATTATTATTATTATTGATACATAAACTATTACATATATCGTGGGATTTAACTGTACACAAAATCTTATATGACAAGCGTGTATGCGTAGGTATATGGATGTTGATGTGAAGGAAACAAGAGAGGTATGTCGGTATCGTGCCAAATTGAAGTACGTAGTCTCTGCCTACCCCGCTGTATGACAGGCCCCTCTTTAAGTGTTTATGATAATTATTATAACAAAATCTTATAATTGAGCATTGAATTCGGAAACCATGGTTTTATAGCTAGATTTCTAGCTGCAAAATCATGGGTTGAACTAGTTACTCACTAAATCAGTAATTTATACATTTAATTAAAATGTATAAAATAAAACGGTCATTCGGATCGTCGGACGGTCGGTGCTTACTGTTATTGTGTATATGTGTGCTTAATTAAACGTTGAAAAAGCCTTAACATTTTATTTCTATAATATAGTGTAAAAACAAAAACAGACAAAACTAAATGTTGCCACTGTCGACTAAGAGTTTCTATTAAGTTTGCAACCACCTTTAATATAATTGAATTATTTAAAGCAGAAATTTGTATTTCTGTTGTAATATAATAAGTGAATTTATGTTTTAACAATGACGTAAATATTAACAATGCTCACATGTATATTGCCGTTTCCTTTTTATCTATATATATATATATATATATATATATATATATATATATATATATATATATATATTGCCGTTTCATTTTTATCTCACAATAAAACCGAAGATCCTTTTGTAAGACTTTCATAGTTATTAAATTATTAAGAAATGCAACGCTGCTATATGCATACGTCTTTATATTAGGCACATATCTCCTATTACAAGAGGATCCAATACAAAAAGAGGATTCCAATAAAAAAAAGTTTAAAATGAAGTAACACATAACATTTATCAATTCGTCCGCGCTGCTTCTATGCGGGTTGGCGGACTTCAGAATATGTGCATATTTTTTTACTGTGCTTGCCATGAGTTGCAATGCCTTTCTTTGTAAGAAACATTCGCGGATTCAGAGACATAAATTGAGCATCACAATCGTTACATGGCACAATTGACCCTAAGCGTTTAAGTTTCTTGATCAATTTCAACATTTCGGTCTCAGAACCAGGAGGATTACCAAGACTCTACGAGTTGGGTAGTTGTTCGAGCTCGAATATTAACGAATAGCCCTTTACTACATTCAATATTTGGCGATCTATTATTACGTTTAACCAATTATGTAAAAAGTATTGAATATGACCAGCGGGAGGTACCTTTAGCGGCGGCTACGGCAGTTCTGCAGACGGTTGGTCGGCGGTGGGCGCCGTGCCGCTGGCGGTTGCCTGCGGGCGGTGGGCTGCTGAGGTGGAGGGTAGTATCGAGCCTGCGCCCGAGTTGCACGCGCCGCTCCCTGCCCGCTCGGTTGGGGGGGAGCGCTCCTGAGTTTCCCTGTGCACCAGTGACCATGGGTTTTTTAAAAGCAGGCAATTGTGATTTTTTGATCTGCAGGCTAGATTTTTCGGTTAATATTTCCAATATGGACCATCGATTTCAAAGCCCATATTTTTTTTTGTAGATAGTACTTACTAAAAGAAAGCGTTTTGCAAAGTTTTAGGTTGCGGAAACTTACGGTACATGAGATATATTTTTTTAAACTTTTATACAAATTGGCAAATAACACGCAATTACTGACAAATCATTGATGTCAAACGTCAATTAGTGTAGGGTTCCGAATATTTTGAAAGTATCGATACGTACTCGATACCAAGTATCGTATCAAAAGTATCAATACTACTTGGTATCGTGTACATTTCGTTAATTTTGGAGAATAGGGGGTAAGAAGCCGGGAAGTTGTGCTCCGGCGCTCCGTGGCAGCTCCGGCGCTGCGGGATGAGCAGTGCCTCCGCCCTAGCGTAGGGAAACACAGGCACCTGGGCTCGCCTTCGCAGCTTCGGCTTTTTGGTCGCCTTCGGCGACCAGCCTCAGCCGCTACGGCGATCTCGGTGCCTGCGCTTCCCTACGGCGGGCGGGCACTGCTCTCCCTTTCTTTTTTTGCGCCCGAAGCAAATATGGGCAACCCTCCGGAAAGCGGGGGAGGGAGGTTGAGAATGCTCATAGCATACCACGCAGCCGGCTGCGTGGTTATGTGGAGACTTTTACCCACTAAACTCAACCTTTTAGGAATTGGCTTAACGATCTGACTAGAGATCTCTAAGCCGTATACGAACGCGACCCTCCTTGGCAGAAAGGAGGGCGCAGCTGCTCTCCCTCCGCGCCTCCGGGCTCTTATATACACTCTAGGGGGTAGGGCAGACAAGACCACGTGGATAGTGGGGTGCTCTGATTCGGTTTTCGGTACTTTTTGAATATTAAATAAGTAAGTCAATAAGTAAGTAAACACTTTATTGTAGTAAGAATTAGATAATACAGAAAGTTGCAAACAATAAAATAAAAGTACAAAAGCTGTACTAATTAAGAAATACAAACAAGTTGCAAACAATGAAATACAAGTACTAAGGTGGAACTTAAATAGAGTAAACTTTATTCTACTTTATATACATATATAATTGCACTTATCAGCTCTTCCTATGCATCTAATTGGTTTTTCATAATTTTTCGTCTCCAAAATTAACGAAATATACTCGATACCAAGTAGTATTGATACTTTTGACAAAATACGTGGTATCGAGTAGGTATTGATACTTTCAAAATATTTGGAACCCTACAATAACTGACGTTTAACATCAATCATTTGTCAAATTTATTTTGTAATTGCGTGTTATTTACCAATTTGTATGAAAATTTAAAAAAATATATCTCATGAACCGTAAGTTTCCGCAACCTAAAACTTTGCAAAACGCTTTCTTTTAGTAAGTACTATCTACAAAAAAAAATATGGGCTTTGAAATCGATGGTCCATATTGGAAATATTAGCCGATTTTTCTATTGGCTTGATATTTTCGCTTAAATTGTCACCGAAGAGAAATTTTTCCCGTTTAATGCCTTTAATTACATAAATAAAGATTTTGTCTTACATTGAGATAGTTAATCGACTACGATTCATGGTTTCCTCGTGGTTAAGATCTAGTAGAATTTGATTTATTTCGGATATTTGCTTAACTATTTCGTATTTGCTCATTTCTTTACGTATTAACTCTGACGTTAAATGTTATAAGCCTGTAATACCATTTTCTAAACACCTATCACGATTTTTAATCGATTCATTAATTACTGACAGAACCTCGACATTCAATCACGGCGCTTTAGCAAGCTGAAAATTTTCGGGGATCAGTGTTTTAGTAAGCAGGTTCTCCTTCTGTTCCTTCGTCAACCCTTCCGTTAGGATTTTACCCCGACGTTCAGAGACTTCCGTAGAGATCTTCTGCCCAAAAATTTCTTCGGAAGTTTTTGCTTCCCCAAGAGCTGCCAATATTTCTGGGGGGAGCATACTTTCCTCGTCTTGTGACGGTGAATGGACACGGACCCCTTCTGAAGACTTCTCAGGAATAATAGTTTCAGCTTCAAGCGAGAGGGGTGCCGGCGTGGGCATTTCAATGACGGACTTTGGCCTGCATCCGACTTTGGACTTTTCCGCTCAGATGCTGCCTCTTTCTCACTGACATAACAACTGCTAACGCCGTATTCGTACGCGTCGGACTCCATTTCTTCATACTCGTTACGAGAGTTATATTCGGGATCTAATAGAACAAGGTTGAATCAACTTAACATTAACTTTTTGGATAAAACCACGAATAACATTAAGAAAGTGAGTAAATTGTTTCTAGATGACATCACGTACCACCACTGAAGAAATAAAATAACTTGAAATTTAATAATTAATATGTGGGTACTTAAATTAACACCCATTAACATTATTTATGTACAATAATCTTGATAAACTTTACTTATTAAAATATTATCTTTATATCACTTGTTACAGCAACTATAAATTAGGAAAATAAAGTTAATTATCATTTAAAAATGTTTCAAAACTAACCTTTGTTACGGAAATCCTTGGGCGGTTTTCGGTCGATACTTGTAACTCCTTTTCCGAACGTGATATTTTGTTTCTAATTTCGTCATCAGTCTTCTCACTTGTTCTTTTTCCATTTTAACATAAATTTAAATAAAAAATAAAAAATCACTTCTTGCAAGGCACACGCGGATGATGCAACACACGGAAAACCAATGATCGAAACCAATGGAAACGCTCGGACGGGCCGATAGGCTGACAGTGGCTTACAAAAATCAATGGACAATCTTTTTATTATTTATTTTTTATTTTTAGTAAAAATAATATCTAATATTTGAGTGATGATGCAGTACTACAGAAAGCAGACTACATAGTTTTTAAATCTCCTAGAATGCAGCAAACTTCTTGCTAATAATTATTGCTTAGGCTTAATTCAAGCCCAGTGAAGCAGGTGGTTAACAACTACATTACTGTATGTTAATTTAAAAATAATAAACAACTCCTAATTTTCTCATCAAATCAAATCATTAATCCTACGAATGTTATAAAATATTAAAAAATCAGCATTTGCAGAATCATGGGACTATCATATAAAAATAAATATTGTATAACTAAATAAAAGTGACATTAATCGAATATGGTGCTATAACTATTTTTTTTCCTTTTTTAAAAATACATTACCTCCACACTAGTATTTTCTCCTGTATCATAGGGGCAGTTTACAAAAATAAATTTCACAAGGACAAATATCCAGACCCGGAACAATTACTTGTAGGCCATACAAATACTTGTTCCGTTCGGGATTCGAACCCGCGTCCCTTAGTGCTGTAACTCATTTCTAAGCCACTGCACCACGCAGCCGTCAAACCGTTATATGTATTATTATCTAACCGTTATAACTATTTTTCTGATAAAACAAAATCAAGGAATTCTTTTTTTATTATTCACTTATGTTACGTTTGTAGAGAATTATTAGCAGAAATGTCGCTCCCAATAATTGCGCTGAGACTGTGGAAGTGCGGTCACTGCTGGACCGAAGAATTATGTTACTCTCGCAATAACGTGCGAAAATTGAAAATAAATGTAACAGCCACATGAATGAAACAGCATTTTTCCTATCGTTGGTTTTTTTTATATTTTATTTTAACAGTTACTTGAGACTAGTTTCTATCTGCAATTTCGTCCACTAACTTAAACAAAAAAATTGCAGCTTGAGATGACAACAACAAAAAAAATTCTTGCTGTCATCTTGAACTTTATGTACGATATAGAAAAAAATGTAAAAATTAAAAATTGATGATCTATTATTTTTACGTAAAATGGTCTTATCACAATAAATAATCTATTATACTTACATTTTTGTTGTACAACGGTGTTGAATTCAGAACGAAGTAAAGTTTAAGGATCTTTTTTGTTGTTCGAAACTTCTTTGTTTTGGTAACTTGTCTTGCCTACTCATTGACAACCTACTAAACTTTTGTAGTAGATCAATGTGCCTCCTACTCGGAGTTAACTGTTCGTTGATTTACCAACTCTTGTTTTCAAGCACCGTAGCAACGTGATTCGTCTTGCAGAAAAAAAGGCGACCATTTTAATTCATCGTGTTACGCGCACGGCGACATTTCTTTGGATTCGGCATTATCTCTTTAAAGCAATTTGTTATTTAGACATATTTCATCATCGCCAGTCAGTTTACAATAAAATTTCCTTTTCTCCTAGGCGTCAAAGGACAATGCCAGAATCTCTATGAAACTTTGCCTCACCTAAAAGGGTGGTGTACACCAATGTCCTATGCGTATTTTTTTTCTGTTATAATTACTTTATTCAAATTGTATAAGTTAAAGGTTATAGAATTTATGATTCTTTTTAAGAAATTTAACTCTTATAATTACATTTACCTTATGTTTTATAACAGCATTCGTTGCAGTTCATTATAATTGCAATCTGTAAATTGTCAGGCGCTAATAAAATGTGTAAATAAGGATTTCCGGAGCCAAAATAAACTTCCGTTGGGCTTGAATAAAATAATTAAGTGATCACCGATATTTGACAACGGTTCTCCTGTTTTGGAGCTAACAGATCCTAACACAATCAGACAACCACGTGTTCCTTAACTGTTATAGTTATAAACAAATATTATACTGAATCCGTTACGTATATACTACTCTTGATATTGTGTCAATGTGTAGTTTTTCTACATTAGCATTTAACAGATGGTTGAACTCTTTTCTGCTTAGAAATGCGTCTGGAAGGGTACAACACCATTATCCATTTCAGTTGACTAGCTAGCTGCAGTGCAGTGAGTGCGTGCTGTGTTCCGATCTGAAGGGTATAGAGTCAGTGTAAAATACGTTGCCATTTCTGTAGTTTGCCGTTTGCCGTTCCGTATTTGTTCGATGTTCGATGTAGGTATATATGTGTGACACATACCATCAGATAGGCTGTGAGTTTGTTTGTCATTTCAGTTTTTGTTAGTTCATTGCTTGACATAATATTATGTAGGTGCCTTCCCAATGACAGGTACCCTTAGCCGGCGATGGTACCAGCTACCATTTCTCACCATAAACTTTGCAGCCAGTTAGCAGGCTAGATAATATAGGTATTTAAAATTATAATTACGCTACCACGATTTTAGGCCTTTACCTCTGTATACTTTTACTATATTGTACACAGAATACGCACATGTGGCGCAGATTTTATTACGACGTGGCAACGGTACATTACAAAATAAATCAAAATAATTTATACGGGTGAGCTTTTGTAGGATTTTAAATCATTTAAATAGATGATACTAAAAATGGATACACTATATATTATTATTAGATATTTTTAGATATATTATTACATTGAAATAATACTAGTTTTTTCGGAATTTATCGCGTATATTTAACTTTTTAATTACCCGACTTTTAGAACGCTTTACAGCACTCATGGTCACGGGCAGGACTGAGATGTTCAACGTCCATATGTCATAGTTAACCGCGGTTACCATAGATTAAAATTACTGCATAGATCGAAACAAAAGTAAAATTTAAAAAAAATTTAATCTATGGTAACCGCGGTTAACTATGACATATGGACGTTGAACATCTCAGTCCCCGTGACCATGAGTGCTGTAAAGCGTTCGAAACGTCGGGTAATTAAAAAGTTAAATATACGCGATAAATTCCGGAAAAAACTAGTATTATTTCAATGTGTAGTGTTCGCGTAAATATAAGAAATCATTATATATTATTACACTAAAATGTAATAATAAAAACCATATGATTATACATATTTTTCGTTTTACCCTCAACAAAATAGATTTCTTGAAAACTAGTTTTCTGCCCGCGGCTTTCATTTACCAAATTTTATTGAAATCTGTTCAGTAGTTTAGGTGTGAAAAGGTAATAGTTAGAGTTATTGTTGCATTTGTAATATTAGTAGGTAAGAATAGATAATAGCAAAATAAACATGTGTTGGTATCCTTAAATGTAAGTAATTACCATTGAGCTATTACGTACTACGTACTAGAGGCGACACTGCATTCAAGTGCATTCAACTACTCTGTTGCTGTTGCGTTGCATACACCGCACTTTAATCAGATCAGCAGGCCCGGTAAACTCTGTATGGACAGAATGAAATACCTACGGGGGCTGAATTTTATTATTGCCATTTGTCAGATAAATGTCTTGTTTTATAATTAGTAAGATTTTTCTAAAGATAAATTACACTCAAAAATTTTGAATATAGAAATAATAATCCATAGGAAGATAACTATGCCTGTCGTATTTTTCTACATTATTATGTTAGCATATCCTTGACAGTAAAAGAAAAATAAATGTTTTCTTTTTGTTTTGATTTTCAATGAGTAGAAAATTATATTTTTTACTGGTAGCACCAAAATATCTAAATGAGTATATAATTCGCATTTCTCAAAATATGGCACCGCCGTATAAATTATTGTTGTTCATGATCGGTTATGTTTGTTTTGCTTGTGTCTTTTTCTAAGATTTTGCAAGTTTATGATGTTGAGTTGAGATTAATGTCCTTCATTTATATGATGTGCAATGTGTTAGTCAATGATTCGTAGTGAAATACGAAATAGTGACTCTAAAAACTACGCTGCAATAGCGGATAAAGAAAATAGAAAAAGTGTTCTAAGTGCAATAGCATACCAACCACTGACAACATTAAATTATTTAGGTTTCCGAAATTCGCAGTAAAGTATATTTTGCGGTACGTATACGATATACACTATTTAATAAGTTCTAACCTTAAAGTAAATCTCTTGTCCAACTTATTGTTTCTCTTTAACCATTTAAAAACAAATTATTGGTTTGTAAACCATTGGACCTACTTTGATAATATTTGTATTTAATAATTATATCTTTTGTTTTCAGCTGTAAGTTGTGGGCGAAATATTATATTCCTTCCCAAGAGCAGTATACTACTTCAGCTTTCCAGACAAAGCTACATAATAATCCCAGAATGCTGTGTGAAAAACATTTTCATGATGGTTAATTTAATGATGCAACCAAGAAAAAGCTCTTAAGAACTGCATTCCCATGTGATGTAAGTAAAGTGTATAATGTATA